AGTTCGTGCGTTTTGTGTTTTAACTCTGCGTTGCAGAGTTGGACGTCTGTTGGAGAACGCACAGTTCGTCTGCGTTTTGAATTTGGGAAACGCAGATGTGGACCTTGCGTTTTGAATTTGAGAAACGCAGAAGTGAGTTCTGCGTTTGAGAGAGGTTGTTGACTTGTAACCTCGTCCATTATAACACTGCAAAGGCTACTGCTTATTGATCTTTGCCTGTTATAGGATATGAGAGTCGTCAGATTATAACTCTCACTGTTGATTGTGAAGGTCACTGAATAGAGTTTTCGTCAGCTGTCGGAAGCATCGTTAAATTGTAACTCTTCTCGATCTGTGTGAAAAGTCTCATATTTGCAACATTAGTTTGTCGGCATGAAAGCTATTTGATTGTAGCTTTCATTGTTGAAACTTGACGGGAATCAATCATCCATAGAGATTTTTAGATGAATATTTGCCCACAGCTCTCTACCAAGCAACTCACTAGCTAAGTCCAACCTTTTATTTCTGAAATCATTACACTGCTCATCAGCATCTCTAATAGTTACTAATATAATATTAGTCATGCTGTTGTCGCAGCCATCAAGATCAATCATCTCAGAGATGAGGTCGTGTTCGTAGCGGTTGTAGAGTTGCGGATGCAGTGATTAGAAAGTCGTCTGATTGTAACTTCCATTGTCAGGGCTTGATGGGGATCAACTATCTATTGTGATTTTTAGACAGCCTACACAAGGGTTGTGTCATATAGATCTCGTTATCTAAATCTCAGTGTAGAAAGGTTATCTTAACATCCATCTGGACTAAATCCAAATCCAGCTATACCACCAATGCTAATAAAATCCGAATAAACGAATGCTTCACAACGGGTAAAAATACCTCGTTGTAATCAACACCCTCAAGCTGTGCATATCCCTTGGCTACCAATCTGGGTTTGTACCTAATGTCCCCAATAGAGGGTCCCTCTTTATTCGTATATACCCATTTGCAACCAATAGCTTTCTTTCCTTTAGGTAGCTTTACAAGTTTCCAAGTATCGTTCTTCTGAAGAGACCGCATCTCCTCCTCCATAGCTTCCCTCCACCTGATTGAATCGGAGCTAGATCCTGCCTCACTGAATGTAGAAGGAATCATATCATCAATGACCTCCACTGATAAAGCATATGCAACCATGATATCATTGTATCTAGCTGGCCGACGAATTATCCTTCTAGGTCTATTTGCTGCAATGGACTCCTTAACATGACCCTACTCCTTAGTCTCACCATCCATCCACTGTATCCTCTAAATGCCTATCTATCATCCCATCTCCTTCCAGTGTCATATTTATAGGAGCCTCAATGGATACAATACTATCTAGAGTGGGTGAAGTCACATCATCATCCACCTGCTACGATATCCTACAAATCTGATCTTCCTCCACCAACCGAGAAACTTGAGGCCTCATCATGTGCGTCTCATCAAACGTGACATCTCTGCTAATGACTATCTTCTTTTCCTATGGATTTCATAACTTGAATCATTTAACACCTTCTCTAAATCCTACAAAGACTGCTTTCCTCGTTCTCGGATTTAATTTTCCATCATTGACATGATAATAAGTAGGACACTGAATATTCGAAGTGACTCATAGTCACTAGAAACCGAACCAGACCAACACTCCATAGGAGTCTTCCCTTGTATCACAATGCACAACAACCTATTAACGAGATGGCTCGCATAAACTAACATCTCGGCCCAAAAGAATCTAGGTAATCCACTCTGTCTTATCATACATCGTACCTTCTCCAGTAAGGTACGGTTTAATCTCTCAGCCACCCCGTTCTGTTGCGGAGTCTCTCAAACTGTGAAGTGTCGCCTAATACCGTGATCCTAGCAAAACTGTAGAAACGGATCACTCTTGTACTTTTCACCGTTATCTGAACGAAAAATCTTCACCTTTCTATTTATCTGCAGCTCCATTTTCTTTTTCCACTCCACAAAAATATTCAAGACCTCATGTTTATGCTTCATTGTATATATCTAATTTCTTCTGAAATAGTCATCAATGAAAGTAACAAAATAGTTGGCCAACCAAATGATGTGTGCTTGAAAGGGTACCAAACATCTGTGTGAATACAATCCAATATACTTTGGGTGTTGTGAATAGCGGTGCCGAACTTTACTCTAGTCTTCTTCCCAAGTACACAATGCTCACATAGCTCCATCTTGCAGGTTTTTACACCTTTCAATAGCCCATGTTTCGCCAATGTCTGCAGGGACTTATCACCAGTATGTCCTAAACGCATGTGCCATAAGTTGGTAGTGTTCTCCTCTATAGTGATAGAAGCTGTCAGACCCATTGTAACTATCTTTCCCTTCAAGTAGTATAGATTGTTTTCCCTTACACCTCGCATCACCGTCATAAAACCCACCATCATAAAACCCTTCGTGACCTTCATAGTAGCTTCCCCTAAGGTCATCCGATAACCTGCTGCATACAAAGTACAAGAAAAATAATGTTCTTCGTCAACTGCGGCACGAACTTCACTTCTTTCAACTCGCTACCCACTCCGTCATGCATCCTGATCCGGACTGAACCAATACCACCAATAGAGCATACGTGATCATTTCGCATAAGTACGACATCCCCTCTTTCCAGTTCCTCAAAACTGGAGAACCTATCCCTCCTAGGGTAAATATGATTTGTGGCTCCTGAATCCAACATCCACTCCGTAGAGTCGGTATAACAAACCAAAAGTAATGCAGGGCACGAATAGCCTGAAGAATCTGAATCTGAATGTTCACCAGTAACTTTTGCAACATTCACTTCTGAAGCTTGTATAGCTTTCCCTTTATTATTTCTGGCTTTGCCCTTCAAATTTAGGCAGTCTATCTTATAATGTCCCTCTTCTCTACAAAAACGATATTGATTTCTACTAACACTCTTATAACCACTTCTATTCTTCGATTTTGAGCAGTTGACTGGACGACAGTTTAGACTACGACCTCGAATTGCTAATTCATCTCCCGATGTCTTCTCGAAGGGTTCGCCATTATTCTTCCTCAACTCATAATTCATCAACGTCGAGGTCATCTCTTTGTAGCTAACAGTAGTTCTCCCATTGATCATAGTGAGAACGAAAGTACCATAATCATCCTCCAGCAACGAACACAAAAATAGCATCGTCTTGTCTTCATCTTCAACCATGCTGTCCACATTGGCCATATCTAAAAGAACTTCGTGAAGTTGTTGACATGCTCCCTAATGGGAACTTCCTTTTTAATCTTGAACTGGTAAAACCTTTTCTTCAAGTGAAGTCGATTCTCAATATTCTTCGTAAGATACTTCTCATTGGATGTTTCCCATAATATCTTCACCGACGTCTCGTTCATCATATTATAAATAAGATTCGACGTCAAGCATGACCGAACAACTCCATAAACCCTACTGTTCATCTTCTTCCAAATCTAGTCCTACATATCTTTAGGTTTCTCTTGTAACTCAAGAGTCTCCTCCAAATTCCGTGCATCTAACGCCTCCATCACCTGACATCTTCACAAACCGAAACTGATCTTGCCATCGAACTTCAGAACATCAATCATCAATCTTAGTGCTATTGATGCTCAGATTCTGTATCGCCTTCGTAAGAGACGACCCCAATGTGCTTGCTTCTCCCATGTTATAGATCTACCTCTCCAAGTAAGAATCCTTCAGCGAATCCTTCGAACAAGCCCCAAACCAAACCCAAAGCTCTGATACCACTTGTTGTGCGCAACGGTACTCGACAAACAAAAATGCACAACAAAAAAGATAGATCACAACCACACAAGCAACCATAAATCACAGCAAGACAAACAAGTTTTGCGTGGTTCGGCAAGTTGCCTACGTCCACGGGCAAAGAGGGGAGTGTATTTACTATTAGAGATAAAAAGAATTACAAATAGGGTTACAAATCTCACCAAAACCCTCAAATAAAACTCTCTAGATCTCTCACAAATCCTCCCACGAAGGATGCAATACTCTCTCAAAGGCTCCTCAAAATCGTCCTTTTATAACCCTAAAAAACGTGTTTAGGGTTATATATCAACTCACAATGAAACGAATCAGAAAATAGAATCAAGCCCAAACCCTCTACGCGGTCGACCGCTGAACCCATCGTGCGGTCGAACGCCAAAAGTCCAGAGACCAAATCGCCTACAAGGTTTTGGCGCGGTCGATCGCAGAACCCATCGCGGTCGACCGCCCAAAGTCCAAAGACCAACCCTGTCATGTGCACGTTCGCGGTCGATCAACACGCCATGTGCGGTCGACCGTGAAGCTTCCAAAATACCTTCTGCTTTTTTTCCTAAACTTCGCTGCCGTTTCTACATTCACATTAGCAAGAACCCCCAAAAGTTCACACCCAAGTACGAACTCCTCAATTGTTTACACCAAGCTACAAACTCCTCTCATAAAAAAGCAAGGGTCACTTTCTCCTCCTCTTTCATGAGCAGTATCAAGGTGCACGTTTCTAGCTTTAATTCAAGGAACTTGAGTCAAAAGATTTCACGCGAGCAAAATAAAACAATGCTCAAAGCAAATTATATGTAGAGTCTCCCGAAATTGAGAGTTAAGAGACATCAATCCTAACAAATGACATGAAATAATACTACGACTCCAGGCCGAAAAGATATTCTGATGAATATATAATCAAAATATTTAAGCTTGTAACTCAGCAACGGTTCGATAATTTTGAGTCAATTTAGTCCCACCTAAAAAAACCTCAGCATCAGCTCCAACGATGGGCCTCCACGATCCCAACACGGGGAAATAAAAGAGGAACAAAAAAGATTATCAAAACAACTTTCCAAAATAAAGAGTAAGATTGATCAACGCAAACTCCAAAATTTACATACGAACAGAACTCAAGCGTAAAGCTCAACCTTTCGAGGCCTGAAGCCACAGCATCTGAAACCGCTAAAAACTAATCAGCAATCAAGATGTCACGCACAATCGAGTCAGGCGCCAATAACAAAAGAAGGAAAATGCACGAAAAACTAGGAAAACCACATGATTTAAACTTTATACAACCTCGAAATCATCTCTACACAATAATCTTCTATTAATGCAATACACAGATGACATAGTTTGTTCTAGTCCTCAACAGCTCTAAACAGAGTAAGCAACGACAGAAAGAGGTTGATAATGTCGAGGTACAAAGAAACAGCAGCCCACACATACTCATCATATGAATACCTCTTTATCAAGTTATCGGTGTCATATATGATGTACCCACAAAAGATGAGCGAGGCGATACCCCCATATATCGCATACGCGATCCTGCCCATAGGAAAGAACAGCTGCAATGCAAATGTACAACAGGTTCAGTGTGAATTCAGAATAAAAACACTTTCAAACAGAAGGGAAAAGGGTAAACTTCAAAGAACCTTCAACGAGTTCCGTAAGTTTTTGGCAAACCCCAAAAAACTGAGGAATTATTATTTAACCCCCACTACACTTCGTCAAAGGATCCCCTACACTGATGCCATTAGATCAAATATCTCAAGTGCAAACCAAAACTGACGCCATCAGATCTAACATCTAACATCTCATATGCAAATCACGTGCGATCAAATGACTATAAACCCCCACTAGTGTGAACACCGTGCAAAGCATGGTATATTTTTCTACAACTTTTTCCCGCTGCAGTAAGGCCGATTTTAACTGCTACAGTAATTTTTTTGAATTGTTACAATATTCTACATCTGCTAGAATATTCCGTGTGCTACAGTAATGTTTCTTTAAAAAACCAACACGTCCAATTTCATATTTGCTATAGCAAATGTTACTGTAGCATTTACCGTGTCATGACAGAGGAGTAGGTAACTCCTTTTCACACTGTTCACACTTCATGCCATTTTCGCAAAACACCTACAGTGGGCAGAAAAATTTAAGTTTTTGGGAGATTGTATTTTACTGTCACAGTTGCAGATGAAAACAGGGATGCATATTCCAGCTCCAGGCTTTTCTAGCGGGAAATGGTTTTCAACCTTGAGGATAGTTTCGTCCAAGAAAAATTGTGGCGTAAAAAACGAATTTATATAACATTTCAATGTTTTCTAGACTTCCAAACTCATTCGGCGCTAACTAAAATTCGATCCAAAGTTTTTGGGGGCCATATCAAACACACCTAAACCTACATGTGGTTTTTTCGCAATTTACCCAGAGCAAAATCACATACCTGAATCAAGGCAAATACCACAATGATCATTAGACCGGCGAACAGAAAAGGCCCAAGGAAGCTGAAGTCATGACCACGCCTTGCCGCCCAGAAGGTGTAAAGGGTTAAGCTGATCACCACAACGCACGTGAGGATTGCAGACTCAAGAATCACCTTCCCTGTCCCATTCACAAATTAATATGAAATATAATTAGTCGGAGAACGTATAAAGGCATCGAAACTTGGTACAAGAAGTCAGAAAAGAAACGTCAAGCGGAACAAGGTAATGCTCATGTTTGTTTTTGTCAAAAGGAAACAGAAGCCTCGAGCACTTCTACCGACTTTAGCCCATTTTCTTGTAGCGGAAGAGAAGGAAGTGCAGTGACTGGGATAGGAAGGATACTTATGCTGAAAACTTTATTATTATGCTGAAAACTTTATTATGAAACATCGGATCTCGTCACCGACCTCCACCGAATTATGAACCAGTTCTGGCACTGTTGAGTTTAGCCCCCCCGGAGATTATTCCTAATTTGTCATAAATGAGCAGCCTCATTCTATCGGACTCAAGTATGTCAAACATCGGCTGCAAATTCTTTCAACCGTGGGGAATAAAAATATTTCTGGTATGAAATTAGATTCTAAGCACATAAAATTACCAAATTTTATACATAGATGTCAAACATGTTAAACTTCAAACACCAACTACTGAAACGATCATACTTCATAATAATTCACTGAAATAGAATTTTATGATGGGAAGATGCAGGGGATTAATAACGTACCGCTCGTGAACGCACACGTCATCCCCACGGCAAAGCTGATGCAGAGGGTGAATATCCCAAGCAGCACCAAATTGACCGGATGCGACCGATAGTAGTAATACAAAGGGCATAAAACTGACATCAGAAAAGAAAAGGGTTACTAGAAAATTACTACGAGGACCCAAAATATGGGACCAATGGAGGAGACAGGTGAGGTGTCCCCTCCCTATTGCATAATGAGTTGGCCATGCTAACTCATTATGCAATAGGGAAGAGACACCTCACATGTCCCCTCCAGTGGTTCCATATGGCCAACTCATTATGCAATAGGGAAGGGACACCTTAAATGTCCCCTCCATTGGTCCCATATTTTGGGTCCTTAAATCATTTTCCAACATAAAATTATATTTACCCCCTACAATGCAAAAGGGCCCTACAGGAAGTACTCTTAAGGAAAAAAATAGAACATGAGACGCGCTTTGTAAACACATATAAATTATTATAATAACAAAACTCTATTTTCAAGGCAGAAATATTATTCTGTATTAAGACTACAAAACATCAAGCTCAGACAAACAGGGTCCAATTAGAAAGCGGGGGAAGACTTACCAATGAAGGGCAAAATAATAAGAAAAATATAAAGCCCAAGCCCAGCGCTAGTAGTCGCAAAGAAATTGTGAACCGGGTGCACGAAGACCACGATGGAGGCCACGGCTACGGTGAGCAGCATCTGCATGGTGAGAATACTGTAAATTTTCCTAATAAAAGCCCATCTCAGCTCCGGGCTCTCCAGCATCGCCGGATACAGCGGCCGAGCGCCGCCGGTCTCCACATCGACACCCTTGTACGGTGGTCGGAAATACATGGCCGAAAATTTGTGGGTTTTGGGTGGAAATGCAATCAGGACAAAGTTTAGGGACTTCGTTCGAGTTTGTGAGGGGCTTCGGATGAATTCGATGGTCGAGGCGGGCAGTGCAAGCGGAGTTTTTATACGGAGGAGGGTGTTGGGGGGGAGCTTAAGATGCGGGGAGCTTTCTAGGCGAGTCTTGGCGGGGTGGTGGACACGTGTAGAAATGTCGAGTAGACACGAGGACTTTCGGAAGATTTCTAGGATGATCGATGCGGTATTTGTATTTGCTGACTTGATCAACACAGGAAACAGGCTTTTGTTTCACCACTGAATGAGATGGGTATGTGTGGGGCCCACTGTATGAACGGTAATGATTTTGGTCCTTGCTGTTTGATCATTTGAGCGCAGAGGATTTTAATTTAAATTTTTTTTGGGGGTATTTACTTTTGATCCAACAGAAATTGCTGGAGAGAATGTGATGGCAGTGGCATAATTCTTTGTCCGAATTCCCTGCTATGCGATTTTATGCTGACTTTCTAATAAGGGCTTAGTTTCTTAAGTTTGCGTGAAGCATGAGAAAATTTATTATTCCTCGGGATTAGCCGTAAAACTGTGAAATAGTTACGAAATACAAGTTATTTGTAAAAAAAAGCTACGATGTACAAGTTAGCTAGAAAGATAATTAAACTTTCATTATGTGACAAAACCATATAGCATTTGCTGTAATAATTTTTTTTTGCCGAATGCAAGAGGAAATCTACTTCTTTATTACTAAAGGAGAACAATAGAAAAACTCTAATGAACAGTAAATCCTAAGTGGCCCAATCAGAAGAAGCCACATCATCACCTCCAAAACTTCCGCCACTTTCTTTTTTCCGATATATAATAACCGAATACTTTATTTTAGGTATTTAACCAACTTTATTTCCATTTTCTTTTTTCCAAGATAACTGAACGCTTCAGTTTCTTTTAATTACCCCCTTTCATCTCCTGTCCTCCTCTTCCCCGTCGTCGCCTCCCATTTATCAAAACTCAGTATACTTTATATCTACCTGTTATTCTTGCACAATCAAACACAAAAAATAAAGAAAAATCCCAAAACTTCTTTCAATGGAGACGCCAATCAAGAGTGACAAATCACCCAGCCTTGGTATCATTCCTTCTCTACTTCAACATTTTTTAATAGTAGTATTATTCTATTTTTGATGATTTTTTCAGCGGTTTCCTTGGGATCCAAGCTTCAGTATCCTCTTCGATCCAGCGCGAGATCGAAGGCGGTGGCAATCGATTATTCATCTGAATCTTCTTCAGTTTCGCAAAGGTGTGATCCATTCCCTATCTGTCAATTTATTTTTTATTTTTTGTGAAATTTATCTTAAATAATTTGGGAGTAGTTTGCTTATTTTGATCTAATATCTAATTCTATTATTTATTTGGAAATAAAATATAAAATAGCGAAAAGAATGAAGTATTAATACTTTTGATGATTGTTCTGTGATTTGTTTCAATAGACATTTTTTTCTCGACGGATGATTCCACTAAAATTTAACTTCAACAATTTTTTAAATAGTAGTATTATTCTATTTTCTCTGATTTTTTTGATGATTTTTTAACAGTTTCCTTAGGATCCAAGCTTCGGTATCATCTTCGATCAAGCTTAGTATGTATAGACTTACATTTAAAATAACATTAATTCAGAAAGATTTCTAAGGTTTATATAGCATGCATCAGTTCGATTCAATATTTATTTCAAAAACATACACACACACAGAGTACTACTAAGTCTTACATGAAAGCTATATATACACATATGATATGCAGTAGTATTAAGTCTTACATGAAAGCTTTCTGTTCTAGAAAACTAATATCTGAAATTGAACTTATAAAACAAAGCATAAATATATAGTCATTATTGTAATCATTATTGATAATTACTAAATTTAGTTCAAAATATAATGTTTTAGATCAGCAAAAGTAGGATCTCTTTTGTTCTCCTTCAGTTTTCTTTTCTCTACCTTCTTTCAGTCTCTTCCTTTTAGTACCTGAAACAAAGTAATATTACCATTCTGTTAATGACTGTATGTCTATGATAATGAACAATTGGTATAAATCAATAAATAAGTATCTTCTATACTCTTATGAATTTTTCTTTGATCCCAGCTTAGTATGTATAGACTTATATTGTAATTTCATTAAATGAGTGTACTGAGGAAAAGCTTGAACAACTAAACAAGGAAATTTGTGCAAATGCTTGAAGACTATTTGATAAAATTTGCTTAACAGGTAATCGTTCGACTTACTACCAGGAAAATTGTGCACCATTAGTAAATTTAATGTGTACACCAATATGGATGGAATGACAACTCTTAAATTTTAAAAAATTTCACAATCTTCGAATCGAGTATACATTTGGTCAAATTCTATTCATTTATAAGTCAAACACTAAATATTATTTGTTTAGTACTAAATGAACTATTGAATCAAACTTGATAGAATATACGGATGAATAATAACCAAACTGTTTATTAATTATTCGGTTCACTTCCACGACTATAATTCATATCTAAAGAAGAATTCTTTATTTTGGTAACATGTTCAATATTTGTAGAAAATCTTTTAGGAACCGTGCTTTGCACGGGTCTAAATACTATCAGGAAAATATTAAAATTATTTATAGCATAATATTTAATTTTGTTAACATAATCAATGTTTGCAGAATATAACTTAAAAACCGTGCTTTGCACGGGTCTAAATACTAGTCTTATTAAAACGCGCTCGTATTAGGAGATGACTAGTG